CCCAGATGAAAACAAGCAAAGACAATATACTCATGAAGCAGTTTTAAATAAGCATATTAGATTGTAGGTATGATTTAAAAAAATTAAATGTTTGAGACAAATATCCATTGGTATACAATGTATTCTTATTTCAGGTTCAAAAAATTGACCACAGAAACTAGAGTTAGCAGAACCAAGATTCATGGCAACTATGATGCAAAAAACGCACCCCTCATTTACCTCTTATTGAAATCCAGTTGCTAGTTATCAAGTTATTATAATCAACCAATTAAACACTTCAAAAGGCTTTAGAAAGATGTATAAATACCAAAAACACAGATGGTTTATGGTAGAAATCAGGAAAACAGAGGGTACCAAAGCAGAGGAAGCACTTGGAGTCAGCTTCATTCATCCATTCTCAAACAGACTGATCTCAACATTCAAAATCATTACCAAAAAAAAGCCTCAAGAAGATGTGGGCCCTTGCAATGGGTTAAAGCACAGCACTATGAAACTATCCCAGCCACTGAAGCACAAGTTCAATACCCAGCCAGGGGGTGACCCACATGGTGCTGCACACCTCTCCTGGCCCTTCCACCCTCCCGCTGCAGTGTACTTCATCAGTCAGCCTGTTGTGCTCCCCATTCTGTCTCTGGTGAATCCTCTCACCCCCACACTTCTGACCTGTATCCAGTTCTGTATGTATAAATAAATAAATCTTTGAAAAAAAAAAACTCAAGAAAATGTTATACCTTTTAGGTCTGATCTGCATAATGGTCACTCCTGTAACTGTATCTCCATGAAGCACAGTGTGGATTATGGGGGCTGGACCACGCCACCTTGGGAGGCAACTGGGATGGACATTCAATATGCCACTGAGTTAGAAAAGGCAGAAATTAGTATGTAAATGGGTTTTACCATTAAGTTACTGCTGCCCAAACTAAAATGTTACTTTCATCATTAAACTCCTCCAGAAATTTTGAAAAAATAACAAATCTAGTTTGGACCACCTTTAAACTAAGAACTAAGTTCACTTTCTTGCCATAGGAGATCAGTGAAACTCAAATTAAACACAAGGTAAGAACAACTATTCATTGTTCCAAAGATGTTTCAGATCATGATGACTGTGAGTTTTTAAATGGAAACAAAATAACCATATTTTACTATATAAAAAACACATAAACTCTACTATGCATCTCCTGGATAATGTGAATTATATTTATAATTTAGTCACAAAAGTACCCTCACTTAAGTTTGCATACAGATTGTCTAAAACAAGCTTCTTGAATTTCTATCAAATAACCTATTCACTTTTGCTGTTTATCCCAATATACCTGCCATCCACTAATCTGTAACTTAATCAAAAGCTATTCAATTAATTCATCAGCATGAGCGTACACTTCAGGGTATAAGTACATGAGAGTCTCATATTCTAAGTTTCACTGTTTAGTCCATCTTACTCATCCAACAACACTGAGCACAATCCATGTGCTGGCACTGTTCTAAGTGCTGGAAACACAAACAATTGAATAAAATAGAAAAATAAGTTCTGCTTGAGGCAAGCTCATGTGCAAAAAGTGGGAGATCGGCAATAAAAAACAAAACATGTAAAAATTCTGTGAGATGATGCTCAGTTCCATTGTGAAAAATAAAGCAGAAAGGGGGGTAGGTGTTCTGGGTAGGATATTATAACCTTAGTGGTGGTCAAAGACAAACAATAAAATACTTGAACAAAGACAAGAGGAGGTAAGGGAGTAAGTCATGCAGATATTGGGAGAAAAGCTTTCCGGATAGAAGGATCAGTTAAGCACCAAGGGCTTCAGGAAGGTGAATGCTTGGCCAGGTTCTGGCACATGAGGGAGGACAGTTATGGCTGGGACTGAGAGAACCAAAGGGTAGTACTAGATGAGTCCAGAGAGCCAGTAGGGAACAAGACCAAGAAGGTAGGCCCTCTTTGGTCATTATAAGAGCTTTACTTTTTATTCTGAATGAAAAAGAAACCTCTAGAGATTTTTGAGCAAAATGACACAATTCAACTTATGAAAAGATTTTGAACAGGACATCTTGATGGGCTAAATGACTCCCAGTGGTTGTTAGATTGAAATTTACTGAAATTAAGATTTTGGGATAAGCAGACTTAGGCTGAAAGTTCAGGGATGCAGTTGTGGATGGCTTAAGTGTAGTTTGGGGAGAGAGCTGAACTTGAGGGACAAACTCTGGATTGTCAGCATACAGATGAAAGTTAAGTCAGGGTGGATAAAAGCCTATTGACAGTGATAAAGAGGAGCATACATTTTCACAATCATGCCAGTAATATTTTTTTAAAGAGAAAATGCTAAAGAAGACAAAGAGTTCAAGATATTGTACTTTCTATACTATATTCATTTATAAAGACCAAGGCTCAATATGTAGTTCCTGATAAATAAAACTTACTAGGGAAATTTAAGAATAAGAGCCTCACTCAGAAGTCGGCCGAATGAAGCTACCACTCCAACATCATACTCTCCGGGTCCCACATCTGGCCATTCATACACTGGAAGCTGAGACTGGACAGCGTATTGCTTCACTGGCAGTCCTTTTGGTGAGGGGGAAGGCACGGTGACCACCTCCAATTTTTCAATTAACTCTTCCTCTTTGTTTTCCCTAGGATTAGAAGAAAACGTAAGTGTGAAGGGAATAACTCAACACCAAACTAACCACCTACAAGACATTTTTATGATTAAACTCCTAAAGCATTTAAAGTTAAATGATTAAAACTAGTGGAACTGAGACTAAAATTTTATTTATTAAATTTTAATTATTTTAAAGGTAAGAGCCACATGTAGCAATTATCTACTGTGTGGACAGCATGTTTCTAGAGATTTCCTATGCATACAGAACCAAATAAGGAAGGTAAATGTATAGACAGTACACA